GCTGCTGCGTTTATTTGCCAATAGGTAAAACGGCAGTTCTACTTGATGTTTTTTAATGTCACAAGATGTTGCAAGATAGCTCGTTTAATGTTTCTGACGTGCAGCAATAGGATACGGGATAGGAAGTGCTGCCTGAGATCTGCGTCTTTTCTTTCCTTCTCTGTTGGCTGCATATGACCTTTAGATGTCCAAAAATATATTTATTTAAGCTTTGCCTGACGAGCAGCAGGAAGCATTGTTACCAGGTGCACAGAAAATTTGTTCTCACCAGGCATTTTTGGATAACTTTAAATGGGCAATGAAGTCAACATCTGGAAGTTAAATACAAAGATTGTATTAGTCCCAAGAGACCAGCTAATTTTTACATCTGTTCTGGTACAGTAAATTGCAGGGAATTACAAGCATTGTGACTAACTCCAATAATGCCTGTTGCAATGAACCATTTCCTGTGTAATTACAGGTGTGAGAAAATGCTTTTTAATGTTCATCATAAGGCTGAAAGATGGCAGTTGAAGCCCTCCTGACACATTCCTTTGAGTCTGCATTTTCTCCCCTCCTGCAGAATGCCATGCAGATTGTTGGCTTCTTGGGCGATGAAGTTGTGTTGGTGCTGGAGGTGGTGGCTGCAGTGTTAAAACTGGGAAACATTGAATTCAAGCCAGAGTCTCGAGTAAACGGCTTAGATGAGAGCCGAATCCAAGACAAAAATGGTAGGAGAAGTTGAACCCAGCTCCCAAACTTTGAAATGCATTGTTTTATGCCAGCTTTTATGTCTTTTTTTTTTCATTATCATGCCAGTTGTGAAAGTGAAAGCAGCTTCTCAACACTGAATGGAGGGGTGAAGGTAGCAGAGTCCTTGTGGGAGCTCTTTTCAGGATGGGCACAACATTATCTGTCATTCAACGGTGGCAGATTGAGGTCCTTAAAGTGGTTATTAATTGACCTCTGAAGAGCTTCAGTTGGCAGCAGGGAATCTCCACCAGCCTCACTGCCACAGATATAATTATCATAGAGGTGGCAACTTGATGGGATCCCCATTTGGCTCCCTACAACCTGGTTAGATGCACCGCCCACCACCAAACCTGCCACAGGGGAGGAGCGTAAATTCCAGGTCTAGAAAGTTTAGTTAATTGAATTTAATCCTGACTGCCTTTTGAATTTGCCTATTCTTCCTGCCCGAGTTTTGTCAGTTTGGTGTTCAGCAGTGAGAACAAGGACCACTTTGCAGTGAAGAGGAAACAATATCTAGCAAAGTTCTTTGGACAGAGACATTTTGATGACTAATTGGGTCATCACAGGTTAGCATTGAGAAAAGCTATGGAGAACTGTAGATAACAGAACAGTCCCTCCTCAGTAAAAGGGACAGATTCAGCCTGTGATGGTGATTAGTGGAATCATTGTCACAAAACAAACTAAACAAAATAACCAAGAATTGACCCAAAATTTGGTTGTGGAACAAGGATCCATTTCAACACTGTCGGAACTAAAAGAGGAAAACATTAAGAAATTAAAGATTAGGAAATCTTTTATTAATAGGGAATTTTTGAGCCCTCAGTAGAGGTTGCTGATTAAAGTTAGGTAGTTAACCTTTGGCTTTTGAATTTCTTGTCCCAGCAATTCTTCTGTTTCTGTTACATGCTGTATTTGCAGAGCTGAAGGAGATCTGTGAGTTACTGGGCCAAGATCAGGCTGTGCTGGAAAGAGCCTTTAGTTTCCGAACTGTGGAAGCAAAACAAGAGAAAGTTTCAACAACCTTAAATGTGGCCCAGGTAAGTGTGCCAAAAGTTCTCAATGTGTACCGTGATAGGAGCATAGCTACGGTTGTTTCTGTTTTTGGTTTCTGTAGCTTGCATATGCAAGGCATCTTTTTAAAGTTAAAAAAGGCGCAATCAGAAACATATGGGAACAAGGCAAACAAAGAGTTAGCAAGAAATCATACTCAGAAAGGAAGTTGTAAAGAGGTAACAGAAGTTGCAGAACACAGACCCTAGTTGGATAAGAGCACTGCTCCCAATTGTGTTGTGAAGGGAGCCAGATGTGCTTCAAGGTAGAGGCAGATGATGGAGAATTCTAGCTGTGTTGTAGGATTAAAGGAAGTTACAGAAGTAAGCAGAGGCTGAACGATGTGAGTTTTGACTTGAGACTTTTGGGGGAACAGGTGCCATTGTAGGTTAGTAAGGACACCAGTGATGATTAAAGTGAGACTTGGTGCAGATAGAACACAAGTAACAAAGGTTTGGATAATCGGCTGATTAGCGTATAGAAGATTGAGGTCATCCAGGAAAGTATTGGAATCGTCAAAAAAACTGATTATGCACCATATTCATAGTAACAGAGGTTGAAGAAAACTCTTTCAGCTCTGATGGAGGAGAGCTGATCAGAAAGATTCAAACAAGTGTCCATCTTTGTTTTTAAATACCACTTATCTCATTTTTTAATTTCCTCTTTTTCAGGCTTATTATGCACGTGATGCGTTGGCAAAAAACCTTTATAATCGCTTGTTCACTTGGCTTGTGAGCAGAATCAATGAGAGCATTAAGGTACTGTGTAGAGTTCATTGATGCCTATGTGTTGGTGCCCAAGAACATGATCAACCAAATGGTTCTCAGTATCATGTGAATAGCTTTTTTGAGGTTTTATTGACGATAAGTGTTCTCATGGAAGGAACAGAGATGATGGAAAGGTCCTATGGCCTCTGTAACTTTCCATTTATGGATATCTTTTTGCTGTAATGTAATCGACTGAAATGCCTCAAATGTCTGTTTTGTTTGAACAGCTCAGAACTTGTGTCTGTGAAATCAGCCTTTTGTGATAAGCTGAGAGTTGGGTTGTTGCAAGAATGCAATTTCTTTACTGAAAGTGATTGTTACACGCCATGTGAAAACGTTTTTACTTCACGAGTGAGGTGCATTGACTGTTCTTTAGTGTACAATCTCTTATTAAGTTAGACAGCCAAAAAAATGTTTAATTACATGGGACAAAACTTTTTAATGGAAGTTGATGACTGAAAATGTTTTCAATATTAATTTACACACTCATGTTTTTGGGATAAAGAGTTAGTTAAGTTATTCTGTTCTACAAAATAGCTTTTGCTTTTACCATTTCTCTATTGCAATGGCAATCGGACAGTTTTGATTCAATAATCTCTTTTTTTCAAATGGATTCTGAATAATGGATCTGTCCCATCTAAATTATTATTTTTTTATTTATTCATTTGTGGGATGTGGGTGTTGTTGGCTGGCCAGCATTTATTGCCCATCCCTAGTTGCCCTTGAGAAGGTGGTGGTGAGCTGTCTTCTTGATCCACTGCAGTCCACTTGCTGTGGGTTGACCCTCAATGCCGTTAGGGAGGGAATTCCAGGATTTTGACCCAACTTACTTATAGTAATCATAATACCTGGCAAAAGTTATATTTTGGGCTGCTCTCTTGGATTAAAATGTAATTAAATGTGTTTAATAAGTACTGTCTCTGGAACAAGGCTGGACATATGGGCATCGGATGCATATGGGGAGGCAATGGCCTAGTGGTATTATTGCTGGACTGTTAATCCAGAGACCTGGATAATGTTCTTCAAATCCTGCCACAGCAGATGGTTGATTTTGAATTCAATTAAAAAAATCTGGAATTAAGAATCTATTGATGGCCACAAATCCATTGCCGACTATCAGGAAAAACCCATCTGGTTCACTAATGTCCCATAGGGAAGGAAACTTCCATTCTTACCTGGCCTGGCCCACATGTGACTCCAGACCCACAGCAATGTGGTTGACATTTAACTCCCTTCAACCGCTGCACAGTCAACTTTCTCTGTACCACATACCGAGTGGTCAACAGTGACTTAAGCCCGACTAAAGTCCATTTACTGGTCATGCATGTGCTGCTTTTTTTTGCCTGCTGCTTAACAATTTCGGGAACCTCAATCAGTCTCTATGGACCCCTGTCTGAGAAACACTATTTGAGATCTGTCATTGCCAGGTCAGAAGTTACACGACATCAGGTTACAGTCCAACAAGTTTATTTGAAAATTCACAAGCTTTCGGAGGGCAGCCACGTTGTCGGGTGCAGTAAGAGAGTAGAGCACACAGTCCCAGAATTTATTGGCAGAGAGATCAAGGGCTGAGAGATCAAAAGATCATACAACTGGTGTGAGTGGAGTGTCAGAAGGTAAACCTCTGCAGGTAACTAGGAGTGTTAGACAGTGAGTAAATTGTGTGATTTCAGATGCGCTTGTTCAGCTATAATCTGGTGCTGTGTGACTTCTGACTTTGTCAGAAACCCCCACGTCATGTCATTGCCAGGTGTTAAGCTCAAGGGAGTGACTTGTAAGCATTAAAAAGGTAACACTACCTGTGTCTGCAGGGAACAGTGGAGAGTGGGAAAATGCAGACAGTTAAAATGAAGATCTATTCAACAAGAACTTCAAAATATATCTGTGTCCATCCCCTCACGCAAAACATTGTTTTAAGTCAATGCAGATCATTTCAGCTGTAACAAAACTCGTTTAACATTTTAAGAACTGGACAGGAGAATTATTACAGCCAGTGTATGGCGTGAGTTTAGCAAAGTTTCTTTGCATGATTAGAAAAAGGAAACAATAGCTGTTCAGCTGTATGTGCATGGAAAACATTAACAAGCTCACTCAGCAGGTTATTTTGATACGTTACGCTTAGTTTTCTAACTTGTCTTTTTGGTCTTTTCAACAGGCACAAACCAAAGTGAGGAAGAAGGTGATGGGAGTGTTAGACATCTATGGTTTTGAAATTTTTGAAGCAAGTATTAAAATTTCTGACTTTTAAATTGAAACATTCCTTTAATTTTACAGAAAATGCTTTTCTTGGTGAAAAGGAATTGACTATTAAAGGTCTCAGCTCAGTGTGCTATTTTGTGGCGCTAGATATCAACACTGACAGTGTGTATATTGAGAAAGACCACTCATTTTACAGTCAACTTACTTGTTTATGGGTCAGGGCCCACTGAAAGTATTTGATGGTAGTTTGACCTGTGAGTGACCGCCTGCAAGTGATTCGTTTGTAGTGTAGAGGCCTGAGACTAAGTGATTTGTTCATCTTGGTTGGTGCACAGGGTGCCAATAAAGTCAGCAGCCTTAAACTTCAAAGTTTGATGTATACCTGACAAAAGGAAATGGCAAGTGGGATGTTAAAGGTAATTCATAACATTTAATACGGTACATGTCAGATATTTTAAACTTCAATGTAGTTGCCACAATTTGTGATTCAATGATTTTTCCAACAATTCATCTTTCTTCTACTGTCACTTTTCTCATTCAGCTTCAGCATCATTTGCATAGAATTAGCAGCAATGCTAATGTTTTTCTTAATTTCGGATTACTTTTTCACGTGCCATCTACAGCTTGTATTCAAAATTATTAAAATCTAAAGTTGCACAATGACTTTGAGTGAGGAAGTCCAGCTTGAAGGAGGAAAGAAAATTATGTTGAAGTATTTAATTTGTGGTTTCACACAATTTTTTTTTAGTTTTGAAGGTATAGTGATGGTACTGCTGTGATTCAACACATGGAGCAATGAATAACATTTGGCATGTGCTCCATGTGGTTTGCCAAATCAATGAATCACCCCTCAGAACTTATTTATTAATAAACACCGATGGAGAGAGCACTAGATTATGAAACTTCTTTTGGCTTCAGAAAAGATACAATGCAGATTCACCAGAGTGATCCTAGATCTAAAAGATCTAAATTGAGGATGGGATGCCGATCCTTGATTTGTATCTCCAAATATAGCAGATTAAGGGCTGAGGTGTTTAAGATGATCAAAGGAATGAATGGGGTAGATTGAGAGAAATTATTTCCTATGTCTGTGAGCCCAAAGCAAGGGGGTTGAAATTAAAATTAGAGCTAGGTCATTACAGGTGATTTCAGAAGACACTACTTCACATAAAAATGTAGTTGAAATCTGCAACTCTTTTCCCACAAAAGGCTATTGGGGTAAGAGGAATTGAAAATTTCAGAACTCCGATCAATACATTTCTGTTGGTAAAGTTAATGATGGATAAGGAGTCAATGCAAATAGAATTAAGGTCAGGTCAGCCATAATCTGATGAAATGACAGAACAGGCTTGAGGTGCTGAATGGTCTCCTTGTTCCTGTAAGAAAATATGCAAAAGTTTAAGAATAATTGAACCAGAATGCAATATTTGATAGACATTACCTAGCATGCATAATTTCTTGCCTCCAGTCTTTACAATTTCAGGTTTGAATTATTGCTTACGAGAAGCTTTTTTCTTATTGTAACAATGGTCATTAGCAGGAGTGGGGAGGTGCTGATAAAAGGGAAATATACGGGAGTGGTGAAGAGGTACAAGCAGAACCATAGAATCCCTACAGTGCAGAAACAGGCTGTTCAGCCCATCGAGCCTCCACCGATCCTCCGAAGAGCATCCCACCCAAACCCAACTCCCTACCCTATTCCTGTAACACTGCATTTACCATGGCTAATCCACTTAGCCTGCACACCCCTGAACACTATGGGGCAAGTTAGAATGGCAAATCCACCTAACCTGCACATCTTTGGACTGCAGGAAGAAACCGGGGCACCCAGAGGAAACTCTCACAGACAAAAGGAGAATGTGCAAACTCAACACAGTGGTTACCACTGAACTACAGTTCAACAGTGTTAGTGGGGTGGGGTTAGGCTTGATATTCCTGCATCCAACCTGCTCTTGACCAACAGTTTTAAAAGAAAAAGAACGAGGTACAGTATTAGAGATGGCTGTGAAAATTATTGAAGAATGGACATAGCAATGTTCCACTCTTAAAATCAGATTTTAAGTGAATGTTGAAAATTGATAAACTGACATTGGCATTTGGCATATGATCTGGATACCCGTATTGACGCAGGATATGTTGTGTTTGGTGGTAAGATAAAAGAAAACGAGTGGAACATAAGATTATTTTTTGACTGGTGTGGTTGCTTTACCATCTTAGCTGCCGAGTGGTGCTAGATGCGAAGTAAATCCATGAGTGCAAAACACGTTTACCTTTAGAGTATGTAAGGTATTTTCCACTAAACCTAGTGCACGTAGCTGTTATGGTGGTGTCATAGCCATGCCAGTGGTTTGTCAGCAATTTTATTAGACAACAATTGAAATCATTTGGCAATTCAGCAAGTTATCTTTGACCTCTAAATTACTGAAGCTACTGCATGATTTATATGGAAGTGTTACTGCAGGTTTGCATATTTCAAGTGGCATTTTTGTAAAACATTCCCTACAACCAAGGTGTTCACCTTGTCTTGCTGACAATTTACATTCTACCCAAAGATGTGAATTTTAGTATTTGGTTTGATTTTTCAAAAACTATGCAGTCTTTGCTTAAAGCTTAGTTAATTCTTCAGGCGCATTAATTTGCATATATTCCTATTTCTCAAATGTTGTGCAGCATTATTTTTAAGAATGAATTGGTTTCTTCTTTGAGTTAATGGAATGTCTTAATATGTAAGAGTAGACTTACAGTAGGTTGTAATTGGATTTTAATATAACAGGTATTTGGACTCCTGATCAATTCCAAGCTTTGAATTAATATTCTTCATGTGGGAAAGAAGAAATGAATTCTTCTGAATGTGTGTGGCCTGACTGTTGTGTATTAAATAAACACTATATAATAGGGCAAAGTGGAGGCAGAGAGATGTATCAGCACAAATGAACTGGAGTACTGTTGACAGTGGAAAATGTCAGTTCACAGATTGCTTCTATTTATCACAGTGGGGTTTTTAGTCAACTTTTTTTTGGGCACGTTGAAATCTTTAAGAAAAAAAGAGTGCAAAAGAATATGCTTATTGACGAATGTCATCAAAAATTCAATTGCCTGTGCTAATGGCACTTGTTCCTTGTCATTGGATTTTAGATCAGTTGCTTGTGACTGAAAGTTAAGCTGCTTCAATGAACTGAGGCAGTATCTATGAATTCTCATTTTGCCCATCAACCTTAATGAATTTTGGCAAGTTTGCTTCCATTTTGTAGCCACCTGCAGAAAAGTTGTGATTCAGAAGCCGAAAGAACTGATGTGGCTGCTGCTCAATACAAAGTAGTTTGAAAAATAAGAATTAGGTAATACTTTGTTTTTGAAGGAAAGGGACCAGGAAAATCCCAAAATACTTTAAACCTATTCCTGTGCAAGACTGAATTGTCTCCTCACTGTATAAGTTTAATTCCTAATTTCGCATCAGTGAAAACTTTCTAAATTCATCAACTATTAACAACAAAAATTGTATGTATTACCTTTGAACAAATCAATGCAAAAATAGTTATGGTTGAATCACAAAGTGGACAATGTGATGTTGAATTTTTAAACATTGGAGTTGGTGAAGAAATATGCAAACATGTATAGTAAAGTATGCTGTGAAATACATATTCCGTTTCTTTGAATAGAAAATAATTTTTCAATCCTGTCCTTAGCTATCGCAGTAAGTTTAAACTTCTTAAAGCAGCTGCCACATTCAATCATGTCCCAAGTGTTTAAAGTTGGAGTACTGAATTTCTTTTAACTGTGAACAATTGTCATTGAAGAAATATCTCCTGATGAGAAAACCTCATACAAAAACACGCACTTTTATCCTGAAGACATTTACGAACCTTGGAAGCCTTTGTGGTGCACAGAAGACAGTATACAGCAGGAAACTCAATGATGTTAACCTGCAATTTAGGCTGTAATTTGATATTATGATATATATGATACCATATTCAGCAATTGAATACATTGTGGGTTCTAAGTGATGAGTGAGTCTGCTTTTTGGAGGCAGTTTACAATTCCTTTGCTGCCTGTGGTTAACAATTAGCAATACTAGAACCAAATTTTTAAAACCTGGTTGCAATCTGGAATAAAAACAGCAAATTTCTGAAACCATTAGGAAACCAAAGAGTACGTAACTGGAAAAGAAAGGTTAAGACTTTAGATTTTGATTAAGTCTATAACTGAAATTTTAAGCTTTCTTTTTCAGATATTACTTGAAAGTGTTTCAGATGTTCAGTTTAATTATTAATAGAAAAGTCATCATTGTGACCCTTAGAGCTCTTACTTTTGAGTGTTCCTTACAGCTTTCGCAATCTGGAGGTACTGATTTGTCAGTTTCCATTATATTTTGCTTTTATTGCATTTTATGATGTATCATATATAGTAGCTTTTAACCAAATTTGCACTCTGTTAATGTGAGAAATAGAACAGTATTCCATTTCAGTGTCAGTGACATGATACCTAGGAAACATTTGCAATGAATATGAAATCAACTTGTGTTGGTGATGCATGTTGGACCCATGAAGAAGTCTCGATGTTGGCATTCCCATGGCGATTCTACAGGCTGTTTAAATTGCCAACAGCTAGTTTTACTTTCCCAGACTGTTTTGTGATCCCTATTACAGTGGGAGCAGACAGCCAAAACCATGGATAATAGGTTAAGTATGATGCATATAACCTATTTTTTTAAAAACATATTTAGTTAGAAAATTCCACTGCGCGTATCAAGCCTATAAACCTGGCAATGTTCATTCCAATGCTGTTGAGTAAGAGAGAAATGATGGAGCAGGCCATGGAAAGGAAAGTACAGCCTGATTGATGAGGGAATAATCAGCAATGTTGAGGAGTGCAGTGGTGAGATGGGGAGGGGTTGATGGGAACAGTTGAACATTTTCTTGGGTGACGGAGGAAACTGAATGTTGTCGTGGAGGTGTGGGAGTGGTGTGAGCACTGTCAGAAGGGTGAGGGAGGTGGTAATCATTGTCTTGGTGGAGTATGCCATCGCCATTTAAAAATAGTGCAAGTCAATGAACTGAAGACAGGCCTTAAGGAGTGTCATAAGCATGATGAGTACACCTGCCAAATTACCACCCAAATGTGTTTTCCTGTGTATCCTTGTAAATGCCAACATCAGAAGGTGCAAAGGCTCTAGTGTAAATAGTAACTGGAATGGACAGATTAAATTGCAGTCAATGTGGGGTGCACCTTCTCTGAGAAATGGATGGCCAGCAAACTATACAGAAACCCATAACAGAAAGATTGAAAGACTGTTAGCAGCTTTTGCCAGTAAGTGGATGTGGAAATCTAAACCTCTATCCCCTCCCCCACACCCTTCTCTAACAAAATGTGAAGGATTATGGGACCAAGGTAGGAATATGGAATGAAGACATTAGCCAAACCTGGCAGTTAAGACTCAAGGAGTTGAATGGCCTTCTCCTGTTCCTATGCGTTTTTTAAAATAATTTTGGAACAGAGTTGCAAAGGGTGAAAGGTGCCAGAATTTAGGAAGAAAGAGTCCAGCAATAATACCAGGATTGTTGAATGCAAATTCTGAATATGTGGCAGGAAAGGATCCAGAATTATTGTAGCAGTTAGGTGAATGTTGTCAATGGGCTTGTTTTAACCATTGATCGCCTTGTCAATCAGACAGGCAGCTGTTTATCTGATTGGCGTATTTGGTGGTGAATCACTACTTATAGATTCTTCCATTGACAAAAATTTCCATCCCAGCAGAGTCTTGGATGCAATAGAGATGAGACATGGTTGAGAGGGGAGATAAGAGGAGAATGGGGATAAAAGATCAGTGGGGTTGATGGAAAATGGACTCCTATTTAAAACTTTCAACGAGCAATGGTGGAATGGGCTACTTAAGAGGATGTAATTTGAGACTGCATTTGAACTGAACGCTGAAACAACAGGGATGAGAGAAGTGAGTGTGTTGGTGAATGACAAACTGCATCACTGGGGGATTAGTACCAAATAATGATATTATGCCATGGCTACAACATTCAGCGCAATATTTCTACTGCATTTACACCACCTTTCCAATTTAATGCAAACAATTCCCTTCTAATTCAAACTGGAAGTCTCTCTTCCTTCTTCCCTACCCATGAACTTTGCTCTTAGGTTTTTGCTACTGGTATAAATTGTTAACATAGATACAAGTTGCTGAAATTGTGCAAACTCCTGCCCATGGACTGCAAGGTCACTCAATCATCTGCAGTAGCTAAACACAGGCAGCAAGAGTGGAATCAAGACTGTCTACAGTGCTTGTGAAGTGCTGACTGTCTGTATTAATGATTGGCTTGGAAGAAAGTAAAAAGGAAGTTTAGTTCTTAGTTTGTAAATTAGCTCTAATCGACTAATTTTTGGGGGGGGGCAATGGGCAATTATCTCTTTGCCAATGGCAACTGGCCATTGTTAATGTTACCAATCAACATTGTGCTAGATAGCGTATTGCTATTTACAATATGCCTATGTTGCTGTGATGGTGACACTGAAGACTCTATAAAGCAGTATCTACTGACTATATCCACAAGTTCTTGATATAACAGTTGGATAAATGACATATTCTGCACTTAGCTGTTTTGAGAGGAAATACGTTTGATTTGTTTTTTCAAGGTGAATAATTATTTCAAATTTAACAATTTTGATATTGTGAGCAATTTCTGATTCTTTAATTTTCTTTTTTTTTACACAACAGAACTCTGTAAGTATGACCTATTTGCAGTGGCAGCTTTGCTGAAGTGGCATACATGTACTTAATTAATCATTTTAATCCCATGAACTGCTACAATGAAGCTTGAAGATCAAAAGCTCTTTTGAGCTATTCTTTGTGTGTAATTCTGCTTCATGGCATTTGCAGTTTGCTTTATTTGTGAGACTCTACATCTTTAATGAAATGATGTGGCAAGAATGTTCCAAGATATGTGCTGCTTGTGTGTTGGATCAATCTATGTATGACTGTTGAGTTATTGAGAATGAGTGAGTGTTGGATGTGTAGCACATGCAAATCTCAAATAAACAAAACTGGTCTTTCCCGTTTCTCAGAATAACAGTTTTGAACAATTCATCATTAACTATTGCAATGAGAAACTGCAGCAAATCTTCATTGAGTTAACTCTGAAGGAAGAACAGGAGGAGTACATCAAAGAGGTAATGACCCACCTTTTCTATATCATTGACATTTACTTCATCAGTATTGGTAGAAAGTGAGGTCAGGCAATATCACAACTGATCTTGGCTGAGGCAGTACTTAGGGTGCTATAAATGTGGAACTGGAAAAGCACAGCTGGTCAGACAACATCCAAGGAGCAGGAAAGTCAATGCTTCAGGCCGAAACCCTTCACCAGGTTTTGGCCTGCAATGTTGACTTCCCTGCTCTTCGGATGCTGTCTGACCTGTCGTGCTTTTCCAGCTCCACATTTATTGACTCTATTTTCGAGCATTTGCGGTCCTTCCTGTCTCTACTTAGGGTTCTATGATCGATCTCAGTACCTCTGGGCTAGGAAAGTCAGTAATGCTTTCAATTTGATTTGGTATGTAGTGTCCAGCAGTAAAGCGTGAATAGCCTATAGGATAATCATTTAGCTATTAGGTAAATTCTGGTCAACAATCCGTGACGTATTAGTTTCACAATGGACTAGATGACCTTGCTCTTTTATTTCAACTTGTATGTAACACTCGTCATCTTACGTTTATTTGAAAGGTTTAACCGTATTATGTTTTTGAAATTAAGTTAATTGGAAAGGCCTCTATGAGGACTAACAGCATCTACTAAAGCAGCTTTAGTTCTTTTTCTCCTGAGTGTGCACACAGGTTTATATCAAACAGTGGTCTGAATTGCTATGATTTTACGTAGAGGTTCCCAAGGATAGTCTATCAGATTGGTGAGATGGATTTAGAAATCTGCAATTAAGCAAATGAATCTTCAGTGCTGAGTAGCTTCTGCATTGCCAGGTTTATCAGAAATATTTTAACAATGCTGTGTCGAGTATGTTCATTTTAGTAGAATCTTTAGTTTGGAGCATGCATTTGCATGTTCCCACAACTGTCCCCAGCCTTTCTAGACAGTTGATTGCCTTGTCATATCATTGGCACTCCTAATTTTACACAGCAGTTCTGATTTTTCTCAATAGTGTCATTGTAAATGTGTGTTTCCCTTTCTTGAACTGTCTTGCATTCTGGTTGAATACATTACAGGACCAAATACTTGCTTTGTCACCATGGGTTTTGGGTTTCTCCCTTCCCATTTAGTGCACTGCCCAATGATTAAATGCTTGCTTTGTCACCTAACACTATTGGTGCTGGTGGAAAGCACATTTTTGCTGATTTATTTACGTTCAAGCTTTCATTAGGGTTTTGGACCTTTGCGAATTGTGTTCGAGAAGGAAAGCAGTTCCATTAATGAAGAATGACATAAAAGATGTTATTTGCATACGAACCTTTCACATGTGACTGAAGGAAGCATTAAAGAGAGAAGGAAACAGAAGATAAATAATAAAAAAGATGATAAATATAAACAAGAAGAGGGATGAGAAATTTAAAGAGGACAGACAACTAAAAACGGGAGGAGCAAGGTAAAAATAGCACGGGAGAAAGAGAAGCAAATGAAAGGGATAAAAGGAGAGACGAAATTGTAAGTGAGGCACAAAGGGAAGCTTTATGGCACATGTGATCACATTTGAAGCTATTTGATCTCCATTGGATCTGGCCTATTATCACTTCTTCCATTTTCCTTTTATCTTTTAATATTTCTTTCTTTTTAAAACATTCATTTCCCTCTTCCACATGATTTTCAACACACTGACCACTTTTTTGCTCGTTCTGATATTATGCCTCCTTGTTACTAATTCAACAATCCCTGGAAATAAACTCTATTCATTCTCTTAAACCTTTTCTGAACTTCTAATATTGATAAGTAACCAACTTTTCTGCTGCAGTCACAGCCCTGGGTTCTGAAATTTTTCATTATAATGTCATTCTCTAATCATTTTATATCTGCTTTACTGTTTTCTCAGCTCTACTGTTCTTTCTATGATGGCATGCTCAGAACTGCAGTAGTTCTCCAACTACAATATAATCCGTATTCAGCACAGAAGGACCAATTCCCTCCTTTTGAATTCAGTGCTGCATTACATAAGTTAAGAAACAAGTTTTCATTTTTATGGCTTTCTGGCACCTGCAGCTGCTTTTACAGATTCATCTACTTGTATAGAAGGAAGCCTATCAACCTGTCATACATGTCAGCTCTCTCTGCAAGAACGACTAATTTAGATCCACTCTCCCTCCTTTCTCCATTCATGTACCTGAGTAAAGTTGTTACAGAATGTATTTCCATTCACTTTTCAAAATCTACGACTTTTTGACTTTTACTAATATTGTACTACTGTGTCTGTCTACTGTCCTAACGTGTCTCCCACAAGCTTCATTCATCATTCTTATTTATTGATGAGAAGCTTTCAATGTTGTGCTGTCTGAATCCTTCATGAGATCACAAGATAAGCATCGATGAGGAAGGCCATTTAGTCCGTGTTATGTCATCCTTCCAGAATGACCCTGAAGCTCTTTACTGTGGCATCCAACTGGTTCTTAAATGATTTCAGAGGTTTTTCCTCCATTATGTATCCAGTCAACCATTCCGTGAATTGAAAATTTCTGAAGTCAACATTAGTTAAAACAGTTTGGTTTTCGTTTTTACCGTACGGTTTACGATCGTCTGTAAGATTTTCTGTCTAGACACCTCCATTCAGGTTGACCAATGTTTCCCCACAACGCAGAACTTCAAGGGGCAGTCTCTTGTCTCTTCATTCACTGCCTCTGATGGTTATGTATTACCTTTGTGTATCAGTGTTCAGAATTTGACATAGTGAACAAGGTTTGATGTGGTCAGAATGCTCTAAAGTTTAACCATGATTTCTTCTGATTTATTTTCTATTGTTTGGTGTCTATAGTTCAATTAATATGTTGTTTGCTCTGCAATCGTTGCACATATTCAACCAAGTCAACCTCTGATTGCAGGGTATTTCTTTGCTCATGTTCTGTTTGTTTGACTTTCCCTCTTCTGAAGCTGAGGAACAATTATGCTAGGATACTGCAGAAAGTTTAGTACATCACCCAAATGCATTTCTTCTTGAGTACAGCCAAAGAATGAGTGTCTATAGGTTAGTGCATTGGTGGAGACATAGTATAGTCCTGTTCTTCTGTATAGCACATCGCCATAGGAATCTCTGGTTAGTAATCAACATTCAGAAGCTCTATTGCATCCCTTCCTAATCCCAAACTCTGAGATCACTTTTTGAACCCTAGTGGTGCCATAATTGAGATGCGTCAATTCAGCATAGATCAGGGTTTGAATTGGGACCTTTCTGGTAACTCAGCATTGGCAGCTTTTATTTTTATTACAGCCCAATGACTGCAGCTGTTCCTGGCATGAGATGTTTCACATTGTGGAATTTAGTTACAGTAATTGGTTACTGCAAAATGTGGTGGGAATTATATGGTACATGCAATTATGAGGTTCCAAAATAAATTTGGTTCTGTTGCTGAATTTCTTTTTGAAAACCTAATGATTTCTAAGTTTCCAGCCTGTAAGATCATATCAAACTAGTAAGTAGAACACACTTTTGACTTTCTCTTGGCTGACGTTGGTGTAGAGTTTAGTCACAAAATATTCAAGGCAAAATCAGCCCATATTTAGGTTTGCCTTATGATTTTGATTAAAATATTTTTAACCGCATTCCTGTTTTCCTGGTACTCATTGAGAGCCTCTGGTCTCCTCCTTGGCCATTCTCTTGAACTGATTGGAGAATGCTACAGGTTGAAATCCTGTAGCCCTCCCTTACCCTATAAGTATTCCTTCCCTTTTTAAAGTCTGAGGAACCTAACATAGACAGAATTCACAGCATGCTTCATCACTGAGTTTAAAATGGCATTGGACATAAATGAAGAAGCGATAGCTTGCATAAAGTCAAACATGGGTTGTAAATGTCTAGAAGAATGGACAAACTGAGAGAAGCAAAAGGTGCCGGAAGACTGGAGAGTGGCTAATGTGGTTCCATTATGTAAGAAAGGTGGTAAGGAAAAGCCAGGGAACTATCGACCGCTGAGCCTGACGTGGGTAGGTTGTTGGAGGGATTCTGAGGGATGGGATTTACATGCATTTAGAAAGGCAAGGGCTGATTAGGCATAGTCATCATGGCTTCGTGCATAGGAAGTATTGTTTAACTGACTTGATTGAGTTCTGTGAAGAGTTGACAAAGAAGATTGATGAAGGCAGAGCAGTAGACGTTGTCTATATGGGTTTGACAAGGTTCCTCATGGTAGACTGGTTAACAAGGTTAGATCACATGGAATCCAGGGAGAACCGGCCAATTGGATACAAAATTGGCTTGAAGGTAAGAGACAGAGAGTGATGGTAGAGGGTTGTTTTCGGCAGCCTGTGACCAGAATCGGTGCTGGGTCCACTGCCTTTCGTCATTTATATAGCTGATTTGGATGTGAATGTAAGAGGTAAGGTTAGTAATCTTGTAGATGACACCAAAAGTGGAGAATGAAGAAGGTTATCTCAGCGTTCAACGGCACCTTGATCAGATTAGCCAATAAGCCAAGGAGTGGCAGATGAATGTGAGGTGTTGCATTTTGTAAGGCAAACCAGGGCAGGGCGTATACAGTTAGTGGTAGGCCCTGGGGAGAGTTGCTGAATGAAGAGACCTGGGGTGCAGGTGCATAGTTCCTTGAAAGTAAAGTCGCAGGTCAAGAGGGTTAGTGGAGAAGGCATTTGGCACATTTGCCTTCATTGATCAGTACATTGAGTGTAGAAGTTGGAATGTCATGTTGCGGCTGTACAGGACATTGGTAAGGCCACTTTTAGAATACTGCATTCAATTTTGGTCTTCCTGCTACAGGAAGGATATTGTTAAACTTAAATCTTTTCTGAATCCTTTCAAGGGTTGTCGGGGTTGGAAGGTTTGCCCTAGAGAAGGTGGCAATGATCATTAAGCAGTCTCATTGTTCATGAAGTGTCTCTTTTTTTAAAAAAAGAGGGTGCTGCTGCTATTAGTATGTAGTTCAAATTAATATTCTCTGCACATAAGAGGAAACAGATTTTGGGGAAATTGTGTTTTCTCAGCTGGCAGGTGCAGTGTTTCGTTGATCCAAGTGCTGGACACGCTTGCACTGGGGAAATTCACTCTCACAGGTGGAACTGAAAACCTAGAACACATGTGAATCCACCTAAAAACTTTTATTCTTATTTTTTTAAAGGGTAGGTGTAATTGGAAAAGAAAAGAAAGGAAACCTTTGACAAAACACACAGCTTCTGACAATTTATAGTTTTATATTGTGGAAAGCAACGTGCAAAGAAATACTGCAACATTTTCATGCTTAGGCTTATCATCCCTAAAATGTGCTAGTAATTGTAAACCGACACTTCCTTTAAAAAAAACCCATTAAATTATCCTATGCATTCACTGGATAGGAAATAATCTCTGTTAAACCTCTTAATGGATTTTCCTGTCTCAAGCTATCTTTAAAGGAAAATGAGTGGCCAAATAGGATGGAGTATCAATAAGAGGGAGGAATGGACTAAAGTGTTCTACTTCCTGAAGCTTTATTTACAGACACAACACTAATAGCATCCACTTGTATAATATGTTTAACATAAGAATTTCCCAACACAACTTCTTTGAAGGAAAATTTAATTTGATTTATTCTTGTCAAGTACCAAGATACAGTGAAAAGTATTAGTTTGCTAACCAGACAAATTATACCTTACGCTAGTACATCAGTGTAATAGAACACAATGCAGAATATAGTGTTACAGCTACGGAGAAGGTGCAGAGAAAGATCAACTGTAATATACGAGAGGTCCATTCATAAGTCTGATAACAGGGGGAAGAAGCTGTTCTTGAAATTGTTGGTATGAGTTTTCAAACTTTTGTATCATTGAGCCCATAAAGGAAAAAAGTGAGTAAAACACAAATAGATGGGTTTTGAGGAGGCTTTTTAAAGTGAGTGCGAACAAGGTAGAAGTAGAAGGATTTTAGTAAGGCAATCCCAGACAGGAGGTCATAGTGGCTAAAGACATAAGTACATAAGAGACATTAATCAGAAAAAGAGAGTATTCAGGGAGGGCAATATGGGATCTGAAGTTTGGGTGGGGAGAATGTGGTGAGCAATGGTAGGATTTAAAGAACAAGTTAAGCATTTTAGCTTTGAGATATGGGAGCAGCGAATCAATGAATATCACATGGAGATGAACAATAGGTGAGAATGACTATGCTGCAATTACCTGTGACATTGAGTTTCCACAAGTTAGAGTTTATGGAGAGTGGGGGATGGTATCCCAGCAAGGGGTATGTTGGTGTAGTTGAGCCTGGATGTGATAAAGAGCAATTTAGTGAAGTTGGAGCAAACTGCAGCACAAGAAGAAATAGTACAAGGGAACGTGTTGAGGGAATGCAAGGAAGCGTATAGACAAAAGGCAGTGAAATAAAACCAGGAACCGTGAATGCTTGAAATGTGAAACAAAAACAAAAATTACTGGAGAAACTCAGGTCCAGTGATCCTTCCTTAGATCTGATGAAGGGTCACTGGACCTTAAATGTTGACTCTGATTTCTTTGCCCAGATGCAGCCAAAAGTGCTGAGTTTCTTCTGCAATTTTTGTTTTTGTTTTGTAAACAGGTCAGATTTACTTTTGAATCGCATTCAGAAGATCTGCAATAGTGTAATATTGTACCTCCAATGTGCAGCTTCTTATGTACTTTACCTCTTGACATGAGCTTTGTGACCAGATTTGAGCAGGTTTGAATTGTTGCTCTAAGGTGTCAAGGTTGCAGTAGGAGCCTACAATTGTCATTTTTGTTCACTTACTGTTCATCCATTGTGAAGAATAAGTGGTCAAAGCAGAGGAACTAGAAGAGACTTAACTGGTAGTACGGGGAAAAAGGGATTTTGTTTTGGCTGCACTTGTCTGTATTGATAAGACAATGATCTCCATTCTGAGTAACAGCCTTACAGTAATCTGAAGAATAGAAATAGGGACAGGGAACAGTATATTTTCTAAATTGTAGAAACCAAAATTAGAAGTATCAAAGAAACTCTTCTTTTCTTCCTTCCATTTGTTTCATATACCTGGTTCATTCCGTGTCTCCCTGACTATACCTGGTCACAATGGTTTGGTTATTCATGGGGACTTGGTCAGACAGTAAGCATATAGATCAGAGGCTGGAACTTCCTGATCATTCAAAGTGGGAAAATTCCATCTCTGTCTTATGCTGTGGTGGGTAAGCATTGCAGAAACTGAGAAATAAAGAAAGGATGAGTGGAAGAAACTACTCAAAATGGGGCAATTCAGAAATCCGAGAGCTGAGTTAGAATAAGAGAGAAACTATAAACCCCAGGAAGTACTGTGATGAATTGTCTGTGTGAAAATGACAAAAAAAATTGTTTGTCTGGGTCACTAATAATCTGTAATACAAGATAATAACTGTTTTTAAGTATATTTTTAATGAAAAGTTGAACAATTTAAATACATGCTTCTATAAACAACCTCGTCACTATCACAGTAAAACCTCCAAGCTTTCCACTGGCTTAATCACTTTAGGCAATCAAAGGTTATGTTGCTTTTCTAGGATGTACAAAAATGTTTTGTATATTTAAGTTCATAGGTATTGTACTTTTAGATATAAAATTGTTTTATTGAGTTCAAAAGAATCTTGATTTGAACAGTATTAAAGAACACTTGATATTTCCCACGTAACTGTTGACTGCATGTCTTCGTCTTTTAAAACTCTGTTCTTTTTCTGTGCTGTAGCCCCTTTGAATCCTTTTCTTGCTTGCTGCTATTGATGCCTTGCTAATGGCTGTGCAAAGACTCCTTCCAGGTACTTGTACTCTGTTCTTGTTCCTAAATCAAGATCTCGTCTTGTCTGCTGGTCTTTCTGGAATCCTTCCAATGTCCTGTGTTTTTCTTCCTGTCCAAGAATATTCCTTCAGTGTGTAGCTTTTATTTAAACAAATTTGCAATTAGGATGCACTAACTCCAGAGTTAAGGTGCGAAAATTGCAGCCTCGTTTCTTGCAATGATGAAGCTATTGTTGATAATTCAATGGAAATGATTTACAAATGAACTAAAACATTTTTCACTAAAAGTAGCAACTATCAGTTGCTTGTTGTTTAGGAAATTTGCAGATTTGTTTAGGAAGGCATCTGATCAAAAAATGGCTTTCCTTGGAAAATAGACTGCGTGCATTAAAGTGACTGAAGTGACCTTGTGCCATGATGTATGATCCTGGACTGTTTCCCATGAAGTGCATGGGAAATTGACTTGGATTGGGGAATGGAATGGAAGCATAATTGGAAGCTTTTCAAATGATATGTTTGTAAGTGAATAGAATACTGGCCGAGAGAAACAGTGCAATGTTTTCAATTTAGAGTGTCACTGTGCATTGGAAAAAATCCTCGACCGGAACAAAGATATAAACAGAGGCTGGCTTAAGCCAAATGTTGAAAGATTATCAGAAGAAGCCATATTTTGCTGCAGTAATCCATGTTCTGAACATTAATATTTTTCACAGGGAATTGAATGGACTCACATTGAGTACTTCAACAATGCCATCATCTGTGAGCTGATTGAAAACGTAAGTTGGACCTTAGCAATTCGATTAGGAATTGTGCAAAGAATTGACACATCTCTTTTTTTATAAAAAAAAAATTATTTAAATTTTTATTCTGAAATCCTCTTTTAAAATGTACCAATAAAAATATCAAAAGTGGTTATAAGAATATGGAGCCCACTGGCACATAGTGGCTGAAGCAGATATTTGTTGATGCGTTTGAAGGAGAAGTCTGCGCATGAGGCTGAATGGAATAGTGGGACAGGATGGATGGGGCAATAAGTGTATACCCAGGTCAGGGGTAGGGGTGGAGACGGAGGGTTGCAGGTCAGGTCCCTGCCCCTAACTTGAAGGATGATAGCAAGCCTGGCTCCGCATGGCTGATACCACACCTGCCCCACCCTGCAGGCAGAAATTCTGCCCCTGTCCTAACAGGAATCTGTACTTCTCTTGTCCCAAAAACACCACTGGAAGAAGTGCCCGTTACTGGCATTACAGTAGACCTCCTGAAGTATAGGAATGATGGAACCTGGATCCAGTTAAATCTGGAGCCTGGGTCACCATAAAGTTCAGTGCATTGGAGGGAGGCCCATGTGCAAAGAAGTACTGGCATATGGACCAGTTGGACCAATTGGTCCACTTTTAGTGTTGCGGAGTCTATGTAATTCTAGGTTAAGGAGTCAAACTTAACTAAAGGGATGGCACGGTGGCTCAGCGGTTAGCACTGCTGCCTCATAGTGCTGGGGACCTCGGTTTGATTCCACCCTCTGGTGACTGTCTGTGTGGAGTTTGCACATTCTTCCCCTGTCTGAGCGGGTTTTCTCAGAGTGCTCCAGTTTCCTCCCACAGATGTGCAAGTTAGGTGGATTGGCCATGCTAAATTGCTCATAGGGTCCGGGGATGTGCAGGCTAGGTGGATTAGCCATGGGAAATGCAGGGTTACAAGGATAGGGTAGGGGGTGGGTCGGGTGGAATATTCTTCAGAGGGTCATTGTGGACTCGATCGGCTGAATGGCCTGCTTCCACACTGTAGAGATTCTATGATTCTAAAGCAGTAGCTGGAGAGGTTTGACTCAGAATTAAATGTAATGTATGTGCTGTATCAGCAAATATAAACTACTAACTGCTGGGTTTGATACTTTGGATTTAATGAAATGCATGGAGCCACAAAAAGCAATGTTGACATGATCTGCCATTGCAAAGGCCAGATAGAAGCTGATGTCATCCACATCTTCGCCAATAATCTATTACAGCCTGATACCTTGCAATCAACACCTTCTTGTTTGAAGATGAAAATAAAAATCCAACACTCTTCCATTTCTGAGATAACAAGGTGTAGAGCTGGATGAACACAGCAGGCCAAGCAGCATCAGAGGAGCAGGAAGGCTGACGTTTCGGGCCTAGACCCTTCTTCCATTTCTTTCTGTCTCATTTTGGCTTCCCCAGTAGTCAATAGTTTTCAATAACTGACTAGGTGACCCACTTACTTGTGTCAATGCAGCTTTAGAATCACCTAATGGGAGGACCATGTGGCTCAGGACCAGTCAACCATTATTTCTCCTGCTATTCAAACATCTAACAATCTAATCTAGATCTCCATTTATACAATGAGGTCAGGAACTCCTCTGGTGCAGTTACAGGTATAGGTCATGTTGAACCACGGTTGAACCATTTGTTTCTAGAAATGAGCAAAATCATGTGGAAGTATCATTATTTAAGATATGGCTAGCATTTTTATAATTTGTGGAATGAAGTTATTATGCTAAGTCACTAGCAACATTTTGAGATGTTGCATCTTAGCAAATTGTGCAACCTTATAGAAATATACCAATTGCGTATGATAAAGAAAATGATAAGGTGGTTATTTAGCAGTGTTAAACACACATTGCAGAAGTCTCAACAAATAGGATAAAAAACACAGGGTTTTTTGCTTTTGGGAGGGATGTGACCTTTAAGTGATATGTTACTTGATAATAGTTATATTTGGAAAACCAATTTGTTATTTTAGTTTGTTTTATGTTGTTCTGGAATTTTGAACAGCAGTCCAAAAATCTTGGGGAAATTGATGTCCTGCATCAAAGCTTGAATTGTTCAGTGCTGTCTAATCCTTCATTACTATGGACTAATCAAAAATATGTGCACGTGCACTTGTGTATATTTATGTGCATATATCAAAATATCATAGAATTATAATTGATAGTTCATAGTTTGAGAAATCTCAATATTTCTGTGTTCATTTTTTAGAATACAAATGGAATCCTGGCAATGCTTGATGAAGAATGCTTGCGGCCTGGGACAGTGACAGATGAGACCTTCCTAGAGAAACTTAATCAAGTCTGTGCTGTACATGAACGCTTTGAAAGCAGAATGAGCAAAAGTTCTCGTTTCCTTAATGATACTACTTTGCCTCACAACTGCTTCAGGATCCAGCATTATGCTGGCAAGGTACAGAAAATGACTCAAAAATGTTGGACATTCTTTTTTCTGAAGATTGTCTGTGGTTCTTTTCTCAGGCTTCTTATCATTGCCAAACACATACAGGAGATAATATTTTCCCACCTCTCATTGCTGTAAATGGAACCCTGTCCAGTTGTTTCGTTAGAATTATAAAGCACAATCGATTTCCTGGCCATTGCTGTTTATTTTGCTATCTCTAAATTTCTTTAGCTAAACTTGATACTGTTCTAATTTTAAAACACTTTCTTTATCAAAGTACACCACTTGCATGTTATGATGAAAATGATTATGATGTTTCCCTGATCATGCCAACTTCTCAAACAATTAGGCCCTGTTAAGAGAATAGTGCTTGTCATGATTGAGTGGATTATGCTTGATGGGTATCCTGCCATTGGAGATCTTGCCATCAATATCTGTTTTATCAACAAGGTGATGTACCACGTGGAAGGATTTGTGGATAAAAACAATGATCTGCTGTATCGCGACCTGTCCCAGGCCATGTGGAAGACTAACCATGTGTTAGTCAAATCTCTCTTCCCCGAAGGAAATCCGGCAAAGATGTCCTTGAAGAGGCCACCTACAGCTGGTTCACAATTCAAAGCTTCTGTTGCAACTTTGATGAAAAATTTACAGACCAAAAATCCCAACTATATCAGGTGAGAGCATTTTTGATTTATAATTTTAACTTAACAACTCAAGTATGATAAAAAGAAAATTTAAACACTAGATAATATACGGAAGCACAGAAATAGGAGGTGAGTTACTTGCTGCAGAATTCCTAGCCTCTGACCTGCTCTTGTAGTCATTGTATTTATATGGCTGGGCCAGTTCTGTTTCTGGTGAAAGGTAGCTTCCCAAGGTGCTGATAGTAGGGGATCAGTGATGGTAATGAGGTTAATACATTTGGACTTTAGCAAGGTTTCTCGTCACAGACTGGTGAAAAAACTAAGAGCTCATGGCATCCAAGGTAAAGTGGCACATTGAAGCCAAAATTGGCTAAAAGGCAGAAAGTTATGGTAGAGAAATATTTCTATGACTAGAAGTCTGTTTCCAGTGAGATGCCACAGGCCTCAGTGCTAGTTAGTTTAGAAAGCAACGTTGAATTTTTTTTTCTTGGATGGTACTGCATGCATAGGAAAGCTAAAAGAATGGCTGGTGCAAACATGATGGGCTGAATAGCTTTCTTCTCTACTATAATGATTCTATGATTAAGATACACTTTAGAGACTCTACCTCCTTTCCCTCAAAACTAGAACTGCCTCGTTCAATTCATTGAACCTTAGTGATGTCAAGTGAGAAGACAGAGTATCTGACTCACTGTCTAAAAGAGAGTATATTTGTTTGAGAGGAAGTCTGATGTTTATATGAAGTTGGCAAATTGTTGTATCCTGGCTACATTACAGATGCATCAAGCCAAATGACCAGAAAGCTCCACATGTCTTTGCTGAGGGTTTAGTGCGTCACCAGGTCAGGTACCTGGGGCTGATGGAGAATGTGCGTGTGCGACGAGCAGGATATGCTTTCAAGCAGCCTTATGAGTCCTGCCTGGAGAGATACAAGATGCTCTGTTCACAGACGTGGCCCCACTGGAGGCAAGGCTCAAGGTATGGAAACCCTGTCTGGTTTTAATGATGTTCATGATGGTCTGGAAGCAGTGGAGAAAATGTTTTCTATTCCTAATTTTATGCTTAAAATGCTGAAAGCTTAATTTTCAAAAATGAATGTGCTCCGTCTTCCCCAGTGACTCAATGAAGGTAGCCACTGAGACATATAGAGAGGTCAGGGGATAGATTTTCTATTCGCGGACTGGGCCCAGAGTGGGAATCATAGAAACCCTATAGTGCAGGAAGAGGCCATTTGGCCCATCAAGTCTGCACCGACCCTCCAAAGAGCATCCCACCCTATCCCTGTAACCCCATATTTACCGCCTATCCCACCTAACCTACACATCCTTGGACATTATGGGCAATTTAACATGGCCAGTCTACCCAACCTGCACGTTCCAATCTTTGGACTGTGGAAGCAAACAGGAGCACCTGGCTGAAGCCCACACAGACACAGGGAGGACATGCAAACTCTACACAAAAAGTCACCAAAGGCTGGAATCAAACCCGGGTCCCTAGTGCTGTGAGGCAGCAATGTTAACCACTGAGTCACCGTACCACCCAGCATATGGTTGGTGTGGTCTGTCTGGGATTGAGCAGGGAGAACGTTGGTCCAGTGGATTTTTCAGGAGGTTAAACAGAGAGTGAGTTTGTGGAGCATCTGACCACAAAAAATCTGGTGGTCCCTCCTTCAATAGCCATTCTTCATAAGTTTAAAATTTGCAGTCACAATTGGGGGAAAAAAGAAAATATGTATTTTTGGGGCACCTTTCATGACCTCAAAGTCCCAGTGTGCTTTACAAACAATGAAATTTTTTTTCTAGTGTAGTCAATTTTGGAAGGTAGAAGATGCAGCAAGAGGTTTGTACACTGCAAACAAAAGTGATACTCAGATAATGGGTCTTTTTATTGCTAGTTCATGGAGAAATATTAGCCAGAACATGGGGCAGAACTCACCTGCTCTCATTTGATGCTTTTCCCTATCACATTCACTTTTATGTTAGTTTGCAATAACCAATGGAAAAGTGAAAACCTGGTGGCAATGCAGCAAATATGTAATTAATGCTTGTAGGTAACAATTGTTTCTTTTTAGCTGCAGTTGTTTAATGGCTTCAGAATTGAGTTGGGGCCTATAACACTTCCCAGGAGCTCTTGAGCACAGTACCCAACTTCTTCACATTTGCCCGGGGATCAAATGACTCCAGACTGCTGCGCAGGGCCAACCATTACTGAAATGAATGAAGATATTTCAGGAAGCAATTCCCCTCATAGTTTGTCAGTGGTATCCCTAAGGAGATAAGTTGTTCATTAATAGTGAATGTCTTTGAGGCAACAAATAATAAAGTAATGATAATTAGGTAGGGTTTCTCTAAAGACAAAAGTGTGTGAAGGACTTGGGCTACTGAGAACAATGAGTTACCTTGACCATTAACAATTGTAAATATATACGTAACATATTGTACTTTCTCACATTCATTAGAGCAAAGCATATAGTGGTATACAAGTTCCAAAAAAAGTCATATTTGGCTCATAATATTAACTCCTAATGCTCCATCTCCATAGGTGCTGCCAGACCAGTTTCTCCAGCACTGGGGTATTTTGTTCTTCTATAGCAACAGATTTAACAGGAGAGGGTTTAATCCTTCTTTCATGCCAGTATTTTGTCTCAATAATTTTTCTCCTGCCCCTGCTCTATCATTTATTCTGAACATGGGTCTGTGGCTACCAGTCTTTCAAGTTGCCGTTATAAGAATTTCAGAAAGTTAGTCAACTCTGTGGACATGATAGTGGAGCCCAAAACATGCTCAGTTGATATCGTACGAAGAAGACATGCTACCTGAAGAGGGAGCTGGAGAATGATCTCAAACCTGTGATCGTACACCTACCACTGTACAGGTTCAGATAAATTAGGCAACACGGACCAGGAAACAAACCTGGGGATCTTCCTACAATAAGCACAAAGGGCTAGGCGTTCAGGTACATTATTCTTTGATTTTTGCATCACATATAGACAGGGTGGTTAAAAAGGCATTTGACATGCTTGCCTTCATTGCTCAATCCTTTGAGTATAGGAGTTGGGAAGTCATGTTGAGGTTGTACAGGACATTGGTGAGGCCTCTTCTGGAATATTCTGTCCAGTTCTGGTTGCCCAGTTATAGGAGGGATATTATTAAGCTGGACAGGGTTCAGAAGAGATTTACCAGGATGTTGCTGGGTATGGAAGGTTTAAGTTATAAAGATAGTCTGGAGTGTAGGAGGTTGAGAGCTGACCTTATAGAAATTTATAAAATAATGAGAGGTATAAATAAGGTTAATGGTAGTTGTCTTTTCACTAAGATGGGGGATTTCAAGACTAGGGGACACATTTTTAAGGTGAGAAGTGAGAGATTTGAAAAAGACATGAGGGGCAAATTATTTACACAGGATGGTTCGTGTATGGAATGAACTTCCTGAGGAAGTAGTGGATGTGGGTACAATTGCAATGTTTAAAAGACATTTGGATAAATACTTGAATAGAAAAGGTTTGGAGGGATATGGGCCAGGAGCAGGCAAGTAGGATCGCTTCAGTTTGCGATCATGTTCGGAATGGACTGATTGGACCAAAGGATTGTTTCCACGCTGTATGACTCTATAATTGTGAAGCTGAAAATCTGAAGCAAGAACAGAGAGTGCTGGAGAAATACGGCAGGTCTGGCAACATCTGTAGAGAAAAATACAGCGTTAATGTTTTGAGCCCAGTGACCCTTCGTCAGAATTGGAGTCAGTTCTGACAAAGGGTCTCTGAACTCAAAACATTAACACTGTTTTTCTCCCATTAGATGCTGCCAGATCTGTGTTCCTGGAATCTTCCTATTCAGTGTGGGTCAGCTCCTCAGTCAATGGAGTTGCTATGATGGAATTAGAGTGTCTTCAAGTATTAACATGACAAAATATTTACTTCATGGCCAAAATCAAAAGTGTATTAAGCAATGTTTGCTGTTTGTGACCTAACTGGATGATTACAATGCATTCCGGCATCATACTCCACTTGAACAACCCAGAGTATATTAGTAGCACAGAGCTCTGAACATAAATTTTAACACATTCTCAAAATGCCCACCTCATTTCAAAGTGATCTTCTGCAACAATTGTTGTGTAAAATTATTTAGTTGAATGTAAAATAAGTTTGATATTCAAAGGATGAAGCTTCATGTCATTTTTGGCACTAACTAAGACTTCTTGTTGTGTTGAATTAACTTAAGGGACGGTGTTAAAGTGCTGCTGACGGAACTTCAGATCCCTCCCGAAGAGTTTTCATATGGTAGATCAAAGATATTTATTCGAAATCCCAGAACGGTAGGTAATCCTCTGCTTTAACCTTTGGAGTTATCTCAAGTTTCAGGGGATTTGCATTTAAGCAACAGTTAAGAACATTAATGCAGCATTTAAATTAAGTACAGGGTGGTCGTGATCCTATCAAATAATTAATTTGATAGCTGTATTGGTTTGTGTTTATAGTTTCAGAAGCATTCCTGCAAGTATAAATCGAGTAGAACTAGCTGGGTAATTTGAAATTAATCAGAAGTACTTTGCTGCTAATAACTGATCTAAATCGTGACTGTATATCCGATTAATAAACCAGCATATAATCATGAGATAGCACACGTGACCATTGAGTCTTAGAATTTTAACGACACTAAAGGAGGCCGCAAGGCATGTTGGACATTAACCTTTTGAAGGGGTTAACAACTTTACTTCACTCATTGTACTCTTTATTTTGTTTTCTCACTTTTCAAAACGTTAATCCTTTTCTATGTGAAAAGATCTTCAGTATGCAACTACAGTTTCTGGTAGAGTTCATATCCTCTCACCCCTCTATTTACAAAGGAAAAGCTACTAACTTCTCTACTTGGTGTGTCCTAATATGAGCTCAGTGTAATTGCCGATACAGTGGGAAATTCTTGGATATGATCTCATACAGCCAGAAAGTTAAATTCACCTTGACCTTCACATTGGCCTTAATTATTATGTTACTGCATTTGTTTCTGCAGCTGTTTGAGCTGGAAGATCTGAGAAAGCGCCGTCTGGAAGATTTGGCAACGCTTATTCAGAAGATCTATCGTGGCTGGAAATGCCACACTAACTTCCTGTTGATGAAGAAGAGCCAGATCATTATTTCAGCTTGGACTAAGAGGCATTTTGTAAGTGGGTTTCTCAAGAGCTTTCTGTAGAGCATCATTTTTAAAATAAACTGCCTGAGGGCTTTCTTATCGCAGTTCCTGCCCTTCTACCTCAACATAGCTGGGTCCATCCATGTCCCTACATGGGACTTCCCAAAACATTTCAGGTTACACTACAATGATGCAGCAGGAGCAGCAGCAACTCGCATGTATCTGGTGCCTTTAGTGTAGCAGAGAGTTCCAAAGCACTTCACAAAACTTAACGAACACAATTTGACGGAGCCATTAGATCATAGAATCCCTACAGTGTCGAAACAGGCCCTTTGGCCCAATAAGTCCACACTGATCCTCAGAGCATCCACCCAGACCCATCCCCTATAACCCACCTAATCTATACATCCCTGAACACTAGGGGCAATTTAGCATGGCCAATCCACCTAGCTTGTGCATCTTTGGACTGTGGGAGGAAACCCATGCAGACACAGGGAGAATGTGCAAATTCCACACAGACAGTCACCCGAGGGTGGAATTGAACCCCGGTCCCTGACACTGTGAGGCAGCAGTGCTAACCACTGAGCCACCGTGCCACCCTTGGGTGTTTTTCTCCAAAATCCACCTCATTGAGCTGAGCATTAGGTTAGATGTTTAGGGATGGAATTCCGGAGCTGAAGAGCTGAAAATCTGCTGCCACTGGGGAAACGATTTAAATTAAGATAAGAAAGAATCAGAGGAGTGCAGACCTCTGAATGGAGTTGTAAGGCTGGAGGTGATTGCAGACATGGGAAGCACCTCCCTACTCGTTGTTTTAATCACCTGGGGGTGGGGTCAGCCCCTGGGCTACCATTATGACTTAAATCTCACTCCATCATTTGCCATTTTCACAATGTAGCCATGTTTTTTTGACACAGCTTACATCATTAGACCCTTCATTAGATTGCTTTCCTTTCCCTTCAGCTGAGAAGTTTTTTTATCCCCCATGGGACGTCTAAAATAAAAATAGAAAATACTCATCAGGTCTGGAACCATCTGTGGAGAGAGATTCTTTTCAGAGCTGAAACATTAACTCTGTTTTTCTCCCCACAGGTGCTGCCAGACCAGTTGAATCTTTTAACAATTTCCTGTTTTTGTTTGATTTCCAGTATCCACAATATTTTCCTTTTTTTTTATTAGACAAATCTGAAGTCAGTCACCACAAAACTGTTTAGTTATTCCCTTAACTGGAACCACAGAGAAGGTAATGAGGGTGAATTACAATCAAATTCAGTGTAGAAAGAAAAATGAAGAGGCATTAAAGAAACATTGGATTAAGAAACAAAGAAAAGTATGAAAAAGTTTAATTAAAGCACAATTCCGAGTGATTCACTACTTGCCAGAATGAGACTCCACAGTTCAGTTGTTCATTTTAGGGCTGGAAAGGTTGCCTTGTTTTGTAAGAATGAAAACCTGCTTATAGAGGGGTACTTCCATTGTTAAATACCAGACCAAATTTCCTGCAGCTAGTTATAATTTGTTTTAACAGTACAAATCCAGCAATATCTTCACAATCGTAGGGAGATTGACAACAAGCTCCTATTTCTGTGAGGCTGATGGTGGGAGCAACATGAACCATTCAGCAATTCACATCTCATGGTGTATTACTTCTCACTACAGTTTGTTGGCTTATTTACATGCTAATAACACTGCCTCTGTTCAGCATTTATTTCCTAGCATATTTTGTACAATGTTTCATAGGATACTGCCCATATCAAGAAAATGCTTCCCAAACACTACTACAGTTTTTATAAAAAAAATTTTACGTAAGAAATTCTTATAAATAGCTTGTAATTTATCAACCAGGAGTATTTGATGGCAATGTTCCATATTTTCATAGAATCATAGAATCCCTACACTGTGGAAACAGGCCATTCGGCCCAACAAGTTCACACTGCCCCTTTGAAGAGCATCCCACGCAGACCCACTCCCCTATATTTCCCATGTCTAACCCAAACATCCCTGAGCACTATGGGCAATTTAGCATAGCCAATCCATCTACCCTGCACATCTTTGGACTGTGGGAGGAAACCAGAGCACCCGGAGGAAACCCGCACAGACGCGGAGAATGTGCAAACTCCACACAGACAGTTGCCCGAGGGTGGAGTCGAACCCGGGTTGCTGGCACTGTAAGGCAGCAGTGCTTACCACTGAGCCCCGATTTTAGTTTAATTTAACTGTGACAAATAATGTAACCCATCCTTTATTGAACTAATAACTTGGCAATTTAGTCATAAAGTAGAGAAACTTTGCTTTACAGTTCCATATAGTATAGGATACTGCTGGATTTTGCTAACGTCCGTCTTGAGAGAGTGTAATGATTTCACCTGTGATCTCACCATAATGCGATCAAAAACCAACTTACAAAATTTAAGTTACAATACGTAGCACTGTGGAGGAAACCATTCCCTGTGGTTTCTATCAGGACTGAACCTGTCTGATCTAATGTGCTCGTGGCAAGAATACGTTAGGGAGATTATTAGAATGTTGTAAACTGAAGGTCATGACAACAGAAGCATCTGTGTTTGTGTCTTGGGACTCCCTCACTGCACTGTGGTTTACAGTCCAGCAATACCTTGCTTTGTACAGTACTAGTACACAAAAAGCTAAGAAGTGCTGTTGTTTTCCCCTGTGGAATTATGGAACTTTAAGAGGCAGATACTACTTGAATTTGATCTTGAAGGAATTGAGATCAGGCAGCTTTTAAGTTATGCCAGACATGCAATCCTTTCAGGAGCTTATTGCCCACTGGATTTCACGCCTAAATTCTGAGAGAATCCAAAGCCGGCTGTTGTTGATCTGTCTTTCTTCTGGGGAGAGTGAGAGACCTGTGCCACTTTGATATTTCCTATTGTCATTGCAGTAATAAATTGCATTTACTTCGTGGTGTTGCAAGTCCAAGAGTTTTGTAAAGAGATAGAAGGTGAAATTTTGATTAAGTGCAGTCTAGCACATCACGCAAGGCACATTACAAGATTAGAGATTGGAACTTTAACTACGTTTCTCTGCCTACTGTACTAACATGTTTCAGTGCTTCACAGTGTTTTAAGGGATGTACCTCTTCCTGTCTCAATATATCTCCCAGAGTAGTGAGTTTTTTTTTCCATGTGTTGAGTTTTTGGTGATGTGTATTACATCATGTTATTGGACTTTCGTTCTACTTTCTGTTATTTGATTGTATGTTGCAAATAGCTGTGCCAGCACTAACAGAGGCCTTTTAAGGTATGAAGTTCCTGTACTGCTGAATACTATTAAATCACCATGGGTCAAGTCTGTAATGGTACTCAGTAATTGTTAAATTAGAGTATCATTTAAAGCTACTGACTTGGCACTGTTACCCTATCTGACTGATGCAGTTGGAAAAAAATGTGAAGCCAGAATATAGCCATTGATGTTTCATTACTGTGTAAGAGTTTTGCGCTTCTTGGAGAGGTGTCAAATATTAGTAATAAAATAGCTTTCATCCCCTACTCGTACCAATCACTTCACCTATTAGTGCATTAAGCAAAGAAGTCAAAGTATATAAATTTCTTCCCCTCCTATTCAAACTTGTTACATTTCTATGATTGGTCCTATTTGATCCTCCCTCTTTCCCATATGGATGCTGAGTCTTGGTTTTATAAGTGCGACTTGTTCTCCTCCCCCAACTATTTATGTCTTGAGCCTAGAGATTGAGCATTGAGGGGTTATCACAGATGAGCCAACTCCAGACCTCAGTTTCTAGAAGTGATCACAGTCTTTGCATTGAATTTGACTGGTCATTATTTCCACTCTATCTCCATCCGAGAGACACTGAGTCCAGTTGTAGTTTCTACACTGCACCTTGGCTCAGGACAGACTGTGATTCAAACACGGTCATTCTGGGCTGTCTGGTTTAGTCCCTGATTAAGCAGCGATTGCCACCTCTTATTGGAGTGACGTTAAACACAGATTATTATCTATGCGTGGTCAGTCTAAATTGGGGAATTGAATTAATCTACCTCTAGTACATATTGTTTGAAGGAAATGATAAAATTTTTCTTCCCTTGATCTCTTCATGTAGCAACGGAAAAAATATCTACAACTCAAGAGTGTGACATTAATTATCCAGTCGTACATCAGAGGCTGGAAGGTGAGTTATCATGAACAGAAGAAAAAGTACTCTTTTCTTCAAATGTGATTTTTCATTATATATTTTCCTTAAAAAAAATCATATGATCTTTCAGGTAATAAAATGAATGTAAATTTAAGAATAGGTAATTGATCCATTTGATTGCTTGCTCTGATTTAGATCCTGACAATAAAGGTTCAACCAAAGTCAAGAGAGTTAGAACAATCATCTGAGGCTGAATTAGTTTAGCCACATTTGTGCCAATCTGATGGAATTTCTATTTGCGCTTATCTCCATATATTGTAAGGAAATTTTAATTCTTTTTCTTTATTCATTCGCGGGCTGAGGGAACCGCTGGCTAGGCAGCATTTATTGCCCATCCCTAATTGCCCAGAGGGCAGTTAAGAGTCAACCACATTGCTGTGGGTCTGGACTCACATGTAGGCCAGACCAGGTAAGGACGGCAGTTTCCTTCCCTGAAAGACATTAGTGAACCAGATGGGGTTTTCCAACAATCGACAATGGATTCACGATCATCATTAGATTCTTAATTCCAGATATTTATTGAAATCAAATTCCACCATCTGCCGTGGCGGGATTCGAACCCAGGTCCCCAGAATGTTATCTGGGACTCTGAATTAACAGTCCAGCGATAAAACCACTAGGCCATCGCCTTCCCATCGTTTTGCTGTTGCTGTTTTGATGTGACCGTAAAGATTTTTTTTGGCTTGTTGTTGGCCTCAGCATGTTCTTTGTGTCCACACTTAAAGTTTTACAAGATTAGATGGGGAAAACAGATTGCATTGAAAGACAGTTCAGCGATCAGAGGACACGGGTTTAAAATGATTGACCAAGAATGAGAAGGAAATGAGGGTAAAATAATTTTGCCTGTTGAGTTATGATCTGGAGGATCCTGCCTGAAAGCGAATTCAGTAATAACTTTCCAGAGGAAATTAGATCTATAACTTGAAGGGACAAGTGCAGAGCCATGATTAAAGGGTAGGGGAGTGGAAGTGATTGAGTGGCTGGGATTTAATGGAGCCCACTAGAGGGTACTAGGTGGCAGTTTGGGGCCTTCATAATTGTGGGGGAGTCTATTTTATGCATTCCCACTGATGGAAATCTGACTCCCATTCGGAATGGGCTTACACAAGGAACTTGCATGGTTAGATTTATCATTGAGCCTCTTAAATGTCCCTACCCCTGAGCCAACCAGAATTCAGCAGTGGATGAGGGATTCTCCCAAGCTCATTACAGTCTCCTGTGCCCAGCAGCCCTTTTTGAGTTGACCTGTGGCCTCCTGGGGATTCCCTGCTCCAAAAGGAGTTACCTATACTATATTGTTCTATATGTGTAAATTATATGGTGCTTTAAGGAGCTGCAGTTTTGTGTGGTGATTAACACCAGTATATATTGTCTGATATAGGTTTGTTAGACAGTTTAGTACTGATTTTTGCACACCTTTCAATCTCTAGCAGTACAGCAGTGAGGAGTTCGCACTGGCAAACCATTACACCCTTTGCCCAATGAAGTGTTATCTAGAAACTAACATCAGATAAAGATAATCCACTTCTTTCATGTTCTGATAAATTCATCTTTCTCTTCCATGTGCTAAGAATATTGTCTGAGTATATGTTCCATATTTTGTAAGATGAGCTTCTCAATGTTACTATTTCAAGATATGATGTTGTAATGTTCAGATATTCTGTATTGTTTATAATTGTGACTGTTGATTTGTCTGTATGATGTATGTAACGCAGTGCTTTGTGCCATGAATTACTAAAATGCAGTCCTGATGCACAAGCATTTGTACCAGTGATACTAAAGATGAAAGTACTCCTGTTGTTTAAGAACATCTTATTCAAATTGGTTATTTTCATTAAGACATGCATTTTGTACAAGCTGACAAGTAAATGAGAAAGCCTTTATTTGTTACTTTTGGAGTCGGCCGTGCATTAGGTTTTCATTTGTGAGGAACCAGTTTTGAATCCAACTTTATACAGAGTTTACTTCTGTCAAAATAATCTGCAACTGAGAGAACAGAGCTTGCAGTTGAAGTATTCCGTTAGTGAGCTGCTTGTAGCTACACACAGACACATAACATAGACATGACTGCAGGAAAGCTGCTAATCTTGCTATCAAGGCTTAATGGGACACCAGATTAGCCTTGTAGCAATGATGAGCATCCAAAGGAAGGGAAGGGTCTTTTCTAAGAGAAACAATTTTATTTTATTCTTTCTATTTCCTCCACCAACAACCTCGCAGGCACGAAAGCTGTTGCGAGAACTGAAACATCAGAAACGTTGCGAGGAGTCGGCTACAACAATTGCTGCTTATTGGCGAGGTTTTCAGGTATGAAGAGTTACTGCTTTCAACTCTGAAGGGTTTTTGACTTCATTGCTGGTTTATATTTGTATTAAAACCCATTTTATTTTACAATCACTTAAAACTGAAGCAACTTTGGTTTCATCTCTCACTGGAGGAAATTCTCTCTCTACCACACATTGTTCGATTCTGTTATTTAAAAACAAAATGTTTTCTCTTGGCTTTTGCTAATTTCTCTTATACTGCTTCTATTTTTTCCCCTGCTACCATCTTTTCTCGTAATAATTATTCTACGGGGATAAACGGAAAACACAAACACAGGCCAGAATGGAAGTGAGGCAACTGAAGGAGGCGGCTATGCATAAACATGCTATTGCTGTTATTTGGGCTTACTGGCTTGGATACGAGGTATTTCATAATCCCAATCCTCATCTCAGCAACTCTCATAGTTCCCACCTCTTTCTCCCAAATTTGTAACAACTAGCACATTCAAAGTCCACTGTAGAGGCATGATGAAAGCAGCAGTACTTGTTCTCAGAATATTTAGTTTGCTGCATGCGATTGAATAGAGCAGCATGTAGCATGTTAACCCGGAAACTGCATCTTTTCGAATGAAGTTGAACTACTACTTACTAACTACCAGCATTGTGGCAAGCTATGATGTCTTGCTGATTGTAAGACTGCAATGATGATTTGCTTTATGGTTCGCATAGTTATTTACATTATGTAGCCAGATCATACTTTGGTTGACAAATGATTGCTGAACTGGTTGTGAAAGAAGCTGAGGAATTGCAGTTGTTTGCTGCCATTCTACAAACATCATGATGTTGACTTGTCACAAAGGCCAGTCTTGGTGCTGAAGCAAATTGGCGTGTCAATGCATTCTGCCATAGAGACTACACTAGTTAGAGCAAAAGCAAAAATGTGATGGAGTTCTTCCTCCATAACAATAAAGGAGTGGACAGTGAGACCTTGGCCTCACTCAGAGGTCACAGTGCATGTGCATTGTGGGTGATAGGTGGGTGGGCATTGCAACTTACCAGGAAAATTGAACCACTTCAGAGTTCCCTTCTAGCTCCTTCTCCAAAGATTGGAATCGTAGAACAATATTATGTACAAATAAACATGAAGATATGGACATTACTGGAAAGTTCCCTTTTTTTAAATGTTGCATTATATGAAAAATCTGTTCTTACTTTTGATACTGGCATTCAGAGATGATGTCAGGATGCACTGTTCACTATCTGAAACACTCTCCTTCAAAGCTGTTGATTTTTTTCTTTAGTTTTTCATGGCATATGGGCATCCCATGGCAATGCCAGTATTTGTTGCCCATCCTTAATCGCACTTGAACCGAATAGCTTGCTAAGCCATTTCAGAAAGCAGTTAATAACCAGCCATGTTGCTGTGGGTCTGATGACACATGTAGGCCAAACGAGACTTGAATGTAGTTGCCATTGTCATCATTACAGAGGATCACGTTTATATTTCAGGTTGATTTAATTGAATTTAGATTCCACTAGGTGACATCTTGGGATTTCAACTTGTGTCTCTAGAGCATTAGCCTGAACCTTTCAATTACTAGGCCACTAGCATTACCACTCTGCTACCATCTATTTGTAAAAGTAGGCTTTCTATGCACTTTGCATAAAACATTGACTAGAATAATAAAAGTGATTAATGATACCATCTTCAATAGTTTGAAATATGCTTTCATATGTTGAGGTTAGGTGAAACTGAGGCATTTCTGGTAAATTAGGATGGAAAAGTCAAGTTATTAAGATATAGTTATTTTAAATATACATACCTTTACCCTTAATGCCCTTCAAATCCCAGAATGATAAAGCTTATTCACAGTAGAAAAACCAAACTGTTAAGCCCACATCCCAAAATTAAGTGGAACAGGTATGCTGACTCCAGTCAGAATTCGCATATTTGTCTACGTTGAGGCACTTCAGGAATCTCAGGAATTATTGTCAGTGATACGTAGTGACTGAATTTATGGGAAACATATTTCTTCTGGATATTGATAGATGGATTGAGGAGGAAGATGTGCAAGTTTTCAGCCTGTTTTACCGCTCTGTACATAATTATTAATGAGTAGTGATTGTACTAGCCAGTAACAATTGGTACAGCTGTTTAATAAAATGTTACCAACATTTATGGTTTTAAAAAAAAAATTCTTATTGCAAAACTTATTGTAGATGTTAATTCCACTTTTCAACTCTTTGTTTGCGATATGTACAAGTTAATTGCTGCCTGAAGCATCACCGTGGCTGATTCACATACATTACATATAAGTGAATTGCTTCCAAACATAACACTATATTACCCTCTTTCAGCTATTTGACAAGAATACTAACTATGGTCAAGTCTACTGCTTTTATTAAAATATTAGCTGGAAGACAGGGTTATATTCTAGCCCGTGAGACTCCCAAAATACAATGTATTCATGCACAAGTTTGTATTTAATATGTTTTGGGGATTATTTTAACATATTTATTTTTAAATTGACATGCATCTGTATTCCGAAAAAAATTACTATGTGCAGCTAAAGATTACTATCTGTTGTACACTGGAAAAATGAAAGCCGGCTTTTTCCTACTTGGTGCCTGAGATCACTGCAGATTGTTCTTTTGAGAGTAGCACTGCTCTCCCATCACGTACATGGCTTGAATGGAATGTAAAATATTGATATTTCTAAGATGTTATTCATGTCCCATACTTTTTTCATTATTTGGTATTGTTTTATCAACCTGCTACGTATCAAAAGTGGTGTTTGGCTTCAAAGTTTCAAAATGTACTGTAGGTGACAGTGTGAAGTAACGTGATGTGGCTAATGGATTCCCATGAGGCAACACCTCACATCACATGACAACCCCTCACGCCAGTCTAGAAATACCCGAGCTATGTCCTGTTGAGTTGCAACCTGTATCCTCTAGGATGTACTCAATTAGAGTCACAGAGTTGTATGGCATGGAAACACACGCTTTGATCCAACTTGTCCATGCCACATGATATCCTAAATTAATCTAGCTCATTTGCCACCCTTTGGGCCCATATCCCTCTAAATCCTTCATAGTCATTCATCCAGATGTCTTTTAAATGGTGTAACTGTACCAACCTCCACCACTTCCTCTGGCAGCTTGTTCCATTTAGGCACCAACCTCTGCGTGAAAATGTTGCCCCTTGGGTTCCTTCTTCCTCTATCTTCTCTCATCTTAAACCTATGCCGTCTAGTTTTGGGCTCCCCTCCCCTGGGGAAAAAGACCTTGGCTTTACACCCTATCCATGTTCCTCATAGTTTTATAAATCTCAACAAAGTCACCCCTCAACCTCCGATGGTCCAGGGAAAATAGCGCCCACCTATTCAGCCTCTCCCTATAGTTCAAACTCTCCAATCCCAGCAACATCCTTGTAAATCTTTTCTGCACCCTTTCGAGTTTAACAACATCCTTCCTATAGCAGAGAGACCAGAATTGAATGCAGTATTCCAAAAGTGGCCTCACCAATGCCTTGTACAGTCGCAACATGACATCCCAACTCTTATACTCAATGCACTAACCAATAAACCAAACACCGCCTTCACTACCCTGTCCAACCGTGACTCCACCTTGAAGGAACTATGATCCTACACCCAAATTTATTTGTTCAGCCACACTCCCCAGGACTTTACTCTTAAGTTTATAACTTCTGTCCTGATTTGCCTTACCAAAATGCAGCACTTCACATTAATCTAAATTAAATTAAAATACACAACCAGAAATTATTTCATGATGTGAGAGTCCAGAATAATAGGAATGTAACCGTAGAATTAGATGAGGCTGTCCAGTGGTGATATCAAAAACATCTTTTCACATGAAGGATATTCAAAACCTGTGACTGTTTCATGACTCCCCCAACCACCCCAAATAGTTGTTGAGGTTAGGTTAAATTGTTTGGCAGTTTGCTTAAGAGCTATTGATATGCAGTTTGTTAAAGCATTAAGATTAGCCACGAGAGAATTTAATGGTGAATTAAATTGAGGAGCTGAATGATCTTTTACTGCCATTCTGTTCCTAGAAGGCATTTGTTATCACAACTTGTGGAAATATAGTGAAGTTACAAAAGTCGACCCAAATGAAAAATGTTAAGTAATAAATAAGCTGTCCCACCTCAAGAAGATGAAACAATGACTTGAATCTTTCAGGGAAAGTATTTCATCTGTAAAATGGATTGCACAGCCTAGCATCCAAAAGAAATAAAAGCCCTAACAATTAGCCTCTCAATTGAGTTACCATTGTTTTAAGTTTGAATCTTTCTCATGGCCCTAATGAGTAGGTCTCCTATTTATCCCCAGCCCTTGGAGCTTAGCCCATAACATGTCCCCTTGGTCAACTGAGCAGAGATTATGACTTAACTTTCTCAGTTCTGCAACAAACAATCCTAGATTTTTTAGTCTGAGAGAAGGCTTGCTAACAACTGAAGTCTCTCATGCCTTATACCATTCTAGTAAATCACCTTTGCTGCCTTGCTAAGGCCTTAAAATTCTTCTTAAATCTATTAATGATGGTTCAGCACGAAGCCAACTCTCTGTTCAGGATGTGATTATCCAAACCCAAACCAAGCAGGTCCACAGTATATCGGAGTACTGGTGATCATAGACCAATCAGTCTTACTCATTAATGAACCTAGGAAAGACTTGTCACTGAGAATTGCAGTTATTCTTACATGGCTCAAGGTCCCCTTGCATGGAAATACTTCAACTAACAGGCTGGTCACAGCAGGAAACTAAACAGTGCTCAAGTCACCTGTGTGCTTGAATGTGTTAAACCTCCAGCAGTATGACAGCAGATATGGAGAACTCTAAGCTTTACTTTTGCAGATATTTTAAAAAAGCGCTCCGAATTTTTAGTGTAGCCATACACAGGGACAGCGTGAAATATGTTTTGAGCAAGAAGAGTGGAAATGTGCTTGAACTCCACCTGCCCAGTCTGCCTGTCCATGACAGTACCGATAGTGACTACTGCACAGCCTTTGTGAAGCAGAAGCCCTATCTTCACACTGAGGACACCCTCGATTGTGTTGTGTGGCAGTATCATCTAACCATCTCCTTTTGACATCCAATAGCATTACCATTGCTGAACCACCTACTTTCGATATCCTTGAGTTTATCATTGACCAAAAACTGAACTGGGCAAGTCTCGTAAATACCGTAGTCACAATAGTAGGTCAGAGACTGGGAATCCCGACTCCCCAAAGTTTGCCTACAGCCTATAAGGTGCAATTGAGGGATATGATTGAATATTCTCCACTTGCATGGATGTGTGCAGGTCCAACAAAGCTTAAGATGTTCTGATCCAGAATAAAACATCCTACTTGATGCACACCCATTTGCCACCTTTATCATGCACTTCCTCTAGAACCAATACACTGTGGCAGCAATGTGTACTATCTACAAGATGCACTGCTGCAGCTTACCCAGGCTCCTTCATTAGCACCGTTCAAACATATGACCCCTACCACCGAGGGGAACAAGAGCAGCAGATTTACCTAAGAGTTTCCCGCAAGTCATTCACCATCCTGACTTGGAAAAATTTCAGCATTCAATCATGGTCACTGGATAAAGATCCTAGAACTCGTTTCAGAATAACATTTTTGAGTGTACTGTACTCACCTTGGATTGCTCTGGTTCAAGGCAATTTACCACCACTTTCTCAAGGGCATTTATGGATGACCAATAAATGCTGGTATAACTAATGATTCCCAAACCGCGTAAAAAAAGAGATAAAACAAACTTTTCAAGGTTATTCTTCCCCCAGAGGTCTTCCATATTAAACATGGTAGCATCTTGCTACATGTTTTGGATTTCCAGCTGACCACAAATAAAATATGCTCATAAACATATGTAAGTCTAGTTACTGAGGTGTAATTGATTTCAAGAATAAGGTTCCCTTGGTGATTAAGAAATATTTTCTGCAGAGTGTGAGCTATTCTAACGTTGTTGATACTTGTGATGAAATAAGAATATTGTGCGCCTTCAGTTGAAAGCAAATCATTGGACCTATTGAAAGGACTTGCCAAGCCTGAAGCAAGAAATGGGTGAGTCTGTGAACAAGACTGAAAAATGCAGCCAGAAAATGTAAAATCAAGCATTCAGATGAAAGGCAGTCGGATTAGTTCAGCTGGGACTCTACAACCCCTGCAGAACAAAAAGAGTTGATTGGAAGGACAAACTAACAATAAAGCATCTATGAAGAACAAGTAGACAAATGAAGATACTGACTAACCAAATGACTAGCCTTCAGTTAAGTCAAATGGAAAACAACAGGGCGATGCAGTAATGTGCACTAGACAGAGAAAGATGTGCAAGGGATAAGGATGACCACGAGTTCATGGACAGAAGGAAATGTACCATGTGTGAATCAACCTGCAGAGTGCTTGAATAACCCAATCATTCGATGGGGAAGAAAAAATGGTGCAGGAAACAGAAGATAAGAAACCAGTTATCAGAGACAGATTAAACAAGGAAAATGCCAAATAAAAGAAGTCAAACATTCTAACCTGTAAAATGAGTGATAACACATTAGACACAGGAACTGCGCAACTGCGTAAATGTCTGAATACAACAGTTCACAAAGAAAATAAATTCACATCATGATCAAGATCAGGAAGAAGGTAAGAAGTTAAGCACCTATCATAACGATGAGGCTAAAGCTTGATATTAGGACATTGAGTAAAATTATCCCATTCAGGTGATATTCCCTGAAAATTTGAAGGAAATTGGTTACCTAAGAAAAATGTTCTGAGACTGAGCAGTGTCATGATACTGATATAGCTGGGAACTGATACTTAGCAGTAAAACCAATCATCCTAGGGTTGAGCAATCTGAGTCTGAAGGTAGTACACCACTTGAAAAGTGTGTTCTAATCAGAAGCAATGAATATTTGATACAAATGTACCAGTAGGGTTTTGATGTGACGGTTGGATACAGGGGCAGGGACAGAAATCACAGCTCTTTGTGCTGTCGCTTGTCTGGGCTCCCAGCCCCTGGCCAAAGCACAGCAATCTCTTTCCCACACACCCCCCACCCCCACCCCAAGTGCATCAGGTTCTCGTATTTGGCCCTGAATGGATTCTTTGAAAATGTTGACTATCACATCAATCTTGATTCAGTGATGAAACTAATGATTCATCCACCACATGAAGAACCAATAAAAGAGCTGCAGAGATGGCAAAAATACAGAAAAAGGATCACCAGAGTAACAGACTACAGATTATGTTAATTCCCTTCTGCTGAGAGAAAGTAAATGGCTAGGAATTTGCCAGGATCCCAAATATCTTAGCAGATCAAAGAAGGGACACTTACCTGATTCCAATACTGAAAGAGATAACAAAAGCACCAGCTGGGGCAAAATAGTCCAGCAAATTTGATGCCAGGAATGACTCCTGGAATGTTGAAACTTGAGAAGGAATCTTTGCTGTTGACATTCCTCTGCCTAACTCTTGGCCTTCAAGTGAACCAGGAAGTAGTCCATTAGGAATTACTAGAGATACACTAAAGGCAGAACGAAGCAGGTGGCATTGCTATTGATTTCTACCTTAAATCTAGATGTAGACAAGATCGTGACTGCCATGCAAAAAACCAGGAAAGCTGGGATCAGGCAATATGCAGACAAGGGCATTGTGAAGATGGCAGAATGTTAGTTTTTTGGAATTGAGTGTATGCCCAATAGAGCTGAGGTACATCCTGAACAAATTACAGCCATGTCTGAAATAGAAACTGCAAAGAGGGGAAAAGGTTGAGAAGTTTCGTTGACTTGATCTAGGACATGAGTACTTTCATATCTCGTGTGTCAGAATACACAACAATCCTAAGGAAGCTGACAAAAGATGATATTGACAACCAGGGGTCAGAATCACTCTAGTTGAATTTCAACAAACTTTAAAGGTAGTATACAAGGAAACAAGTCTGTTATACTACAACAGAAAGAAAACTGTCACTCTGCAAATTGATCAGATATACCAAGATACTTTTGAAGTTATGTGAGAAATTCCAGTGGAGAGTGGTGATAACCTACCGGAACAGATCTACAGGAAATAGTTGTAAAGCACCAGCAAGATTGCAAAGAGACTTCAGTTACCATTGTACTTTGAAATGCAAGTCAGGAAGGGAAATGGTACTTGCAGATGCCCTATTTTGATTGTTGCCATTGTAGGAACAGGAGATAAAAATTCTACAGAGATGGTAGGAACTGCTGATGCTGGAGAATCTGAGGTAACAAAGTGTAGAGCTGGATGAACACAGCAGGCCAAGCAGCATCAGGGGAGCAGGAAAGCTGACGTTTCGGGTCTGGACCCTTCTTCAGAAAAATTTCAGAAAAAGCTTTCCTGCTCCTCTGATGCAGCTTGGCCTGCTGTGTTCATCCAGCTCTACACCTTGTTATCTCATGAGTATCAACTCTACAAAATGTCAGTACAACATCCAACTACCTTAGAGATATTGTGAATAATATTTTTAGATGAGAAATCAAACTCTAAAGAACTCTTCTTGAATTGTTCAGTTTATTGATATAATTTTTGGTTAGTCAACTGTAGAAAATATACTTGATGATTGGAAGAGATAGCAAGAACAGCAGATACTGGAGTCAGAGACAACAGTGTGGAGCTGGAGGAACACAGCA